ATTGGCGTGAGAAGGTTTACAAAATGAAAAACCGTTTTTTTATATGGGATTTCCAGTATTTTTCGGATATCTCGAGAAGGGAAGAATATTTTTCGAAAAGATAAAAAACGAACTTGAGATATGCTCTGAAGTATCTGCGGTAAAATTTTGAGCTCGATCGCACCATTTGTTCGAGGGGTCTTAATGTTTGCCAATGAAAACTGAAGTTTTCCAGAAAACCTACACGTCAGAAAATTCTGCGCAAAAATACATCGATTTTCCTTTTCGATGTTCTATCTTTGGTATAAATTAGAACCTGACCCGACATAGGCTTCCCTATTTTCCAAGAGGGTAAAAACAGAGGGAGAAGGGTACCCTTAAAATGTTCTAGACAAAATTTTAAAAATCTGCTTTTATCGAACATCTCACTTATATCTTCAGAAAAAGATTTAAGGTGCGGCTAATGCAAAAATCAAGTGCAAAATCCCGATTGTCTCATGTTCGATCTCACCGATGCGATTTTTGGATTCAGCATTGTGAAGCACATCTACGCACTTGTCATTCGATGACTTTTCTTCAAGTCTTAAACTCTTGTAGCTGATCAAACACTGATCACGCGAACCTTGAGGTTATCACTGCGCAATGCTATCTAGTTTTTTGCCATGAGAACTAGAGACTTCTTTCATATGCCAGAAGATTCGCCTTGCCTTGGTCCACAAAAGTAGTGTTTGATCAGCTACAAGAGTTTAAAACTGGAAGAAAAATCATCGAATGACAAGTGCGTAGATGTGCTTCACAATGCAGAATCCAAAAATCGCACCGGTGAGATCGGACATGAAAAGATCAGGAGATAATCGGGAATTTCTGAAAAATCGGTTTTTCGAGATTTTTGACTCCCTCACGTATTTTGAGGTTTTCTGCATGAAAACTCGGTCAAATCGAAAAAATAAGATCAGATTCACGAATCAGAATATGTGTTTGAAAACTCAAAAGCTTTTGCACTTGATTTTTGCATTAGCGGCACCTTACATAATTAATATTAGTGCATGACATGTTTGATGAATCAGATTGATAGTGGTTGTTCCACTGACAAGCTACATCTGAACTGGTCAGCTGCTGATTTATCAGGATATATTGCACTGTTGTACTGAGGAGCATTCACTTGCTAATAAAGAACGACAGTCAACATCATTTAATAAAAGAGTAATATATTTGAGAAAAAAGAACGAAAATCGAGATCAAAGCAGAGTTTCTGTTGCTAAAGTTTGATTTCACAGCTGACATCATCTTTTGTTCAAAACAATCAAATAAATAAAGTACAATGTTTATCATTTGTCTGTTTACAGCCGTGCCTTGTTCTGTATTTAATGTATCAGCATTTGTTAAAACTATCACACCAATATTTGTCTCTGGGTTCATTACCATTACAGTTGTCACACCGGGCATAATTCCGACATGACCAAGATATGAAGGTCTGTTCGGGAAATTAAAATATGTCCAAATAAGTCCAGATGTCGATGAAACGTTTGGATATTGTACAGTTCGAATTTGTTCAATGGAGGTGGATTTTAGGATATATGTTCCATTATTAATAAACATACGCAAATATTTTGATAATGAAAGAGCTGACATCCGCAGTAGACCAGCTGGATAGGGAATAATTCCAAAGAACCCAATATGAATCCACGATTCATTTATCTGTCGAAACTCTAGGTTGGGTGCAAATTCTAACCAGTCTGCTAGAGTTGTATTAAATGCATAATGCTCAACTAAGTCGTTTGTACTTGGTAGTCCAGCTAATGTCCAGCTTGCATCAGACATATTTAAGGGTTTTAAAATATTCTCTTCCACATATTTACTGTAGGAAGTATTAGATATCAACTCAATAACCATTCCCGCTAAGGCTGCGCCAATATTGGAATAATTGTAGTGCATACCAACCGAGACATTTAACCAATTTTCTGACGAATATAATTTTCCAGATGGCAGTAAATAATCAAAACAAAATTCTCTTAATGTTGTATTAATAGTGTAATTATCGTATGGTAAATAAAATCGGCTGTCTGTCTTTGGGCTGACCCCAGACGTGTGAGTCAAAAGATGTCTCATTGTTATTTTATTTTCAACAGATGCTACCAACAAAGGGTTCTTGATCGATGGTAGAGAAGATCTGACTAAATATGTGTTGATTTCCTCGTCAAGTTCTAGTAAGTTTCTTTCGACTAGCTGCATAGCTGATACAGCAAGAAATGTTTTTGTGATTGATGCTAGCAAGAATATCGAATCACTATCAACACGTTTATCACTAACGTTACCATTATTTGACAACGATCTATAACCAAATGTTTCGTGATAGAGTATATTACTAGGATCAACAACAACACCTGCCTAGTATATGAACGTCATTCAACATTTTTTCGATTGATAATGGATTCGGTACAGATGTTGGACATACGCGGTTACACAAAAACAGCAGTAGCAATGCGGAGAATAAAAACATGATGACAAAACTCTGAAAAGAATTAATAATCTGGAATATAATAATAAGAATATTTGATATCTGAAAAGTATGCTAACGCACTATTTTATTATCTATGTATACAATAGACCCAAAAGGAACTGGCTTTTGTGATATATCATTCTCACACAACAAGATACGACTCATATTTTTATTTTTTCTTCAGTTTAACATTACCTGATTATGTCAATACGAAGAAACAAAACGTAAAAATATAAAATAATTGTGATATTTAATACTTCCTACAGTAAATATGTGGAAGAGAATATTTTAAAACCCTTAAATATGTCTGATGCAAGCTGGACATTAGCTGGACTACCAAGTACAAACGACTTAGTTGAGC